TTTCAGAAAAATAAATAATTATTAAGGGTCTATTTATACTCCCTTATTATTAGTATTTGCATTAGTATTATGATTAAGCATTAAGTTGAACCTTCACAATGTAATGGGGACATTTATACTCGATTTATGATTAGTATTAGCATTAATATTTATGCTTAATAATTGACAGGTTCAACTTTTAAATTAAATATTAAATTTCTTCTTTTCTATAAAATGAACCAATAACGTATTTGGCCTTTGTTTTTAATAGAAAAGGATAGGGATAATTGACAATACACATATGATTATGTTGTTTATATGTTTGTTCCAACAAGCTCGAAAACGATAATATTTCGGTACAAATCATGCGCTGTATACAATTTTTGTGTATCAGCAGTGTTTACGATTATAAAGTTGACAAATGACATGTTACCACGAGGAAGCAAAGGCCTCTTTTCTGTCTGATTTTTATCAAATTTCTGATTCTTTTTATCTGTTATAAATTGAGACTTAAATCCGTTAAAATGTCCTTAATTAAACCTATTTTTGAATAATAATATTTTTAAATAAAATTAACTAGTAAAAATATTAATAAAAACACATTTAAAACTCAAATATCTTAAAAGAACACAATTGGCCTCTTACATATTTCTTCAGTAACCATATATTTTGTTGACTGCAGAATTATACCTTATTAGGTATTAGGTTTAAAAAAGAATTACTAATACTAATTATAAAACGAGTATAAATACCTTTTTTGAATGATTTAACTAATTTAATGCTTAATCATAATACTAATACAAATACTAATACTAAGGGAGTATAAATAGACCCTAATATATTAATGTTAAATTAGATTGTCTGTAATTATATATTTTATGTAACAACCCACTCTTTAGTATGTAAACGCGCTCCTAGTCAAAGACATATCCAAACAGTTTAACCATACAATAAATTTTAACACAAAATTACTAGTCAGCTTGAAGCCTGTCATTTTAAGAAAAAAGAAATCGGACCCCTACCTTACAAGCTTTTCTCGAATAAAAGAATGCATGAAACGCGGACTCCAACAACATGTTTATTTAATTACAAACAATAAAGTTTATTTATAAAGCAAAATATGTGTAATTAGACTATTGAACTAGACATCACTTTCAAATCGTAACGACTTAGAAGCCAGCACGATATAGTTTCTCGGATTACATAGTTGTACAGGTTTGCTGGCTAATGATATCGCTAACATAACCATTGCGGATTATAATAAAAACAAATAAGGGCAAACGTATTCCCTTCGTATTTAAATAGGCCATAAAAAGTTGCAGCGACGAGCAAGCAGTCTGCTGTAGAGGTTCGCCAATGGAATGCATCTTGGCGCTGGCAACATTTCTCACGATCCAAACTGGGCATATTTTCAAGGTCTGCGCCCATCCTCTCTGTCTGTCATACTAGCGTTACCCCGTACCTGACTTGAGACTCGATATTATTTTCATATAGATTTCGTCGAAATTCGTTTTATATATAGAACAGGCAGTTAGACTGTGTAAACAACCGATTAGTTATATAGTTAATACAGAAATCTAATATTTTTTAAAGAAGATTGATATCTATATCGTACAATAAACAGTGGCGGTCATGGCCAATCCAATCAGTAAAAAAAAATTAATACAAGGAAGAAAATACAGTGCCAAATTTAAATTTGAAAAATTTCCAACTATGGTACCAGCTGGTTCAGTAAGAGACACGATAAGTGATAGTTATTAAAGGTATTTCAACTTCCCATACATAAATACGAAGAAGATAATATGACCTTAAAGAATACGTAGTTCCAAAAAATCTACCAGAGGTCGTATTAGTCATTCCAACGACCTATCAAAATGTTACCCGCGAGTAATTACAGAATATGATGTGGCAACCCCGTGGGCTTGTTCTCTTTGACATGGTTAATGATACCCATTGAGATAGAAAAAATATCGCGACGAATTGATAACCTCCTCCTTTTTTGAAGTCGGTTAATAAAGAGGAAATTCTGCGACGGTACTAAAAGTGTCTGCACTTTTGCATTACACTTTTACGTCATATGTCAAAAGGAAGCTACTGGAGCTAATCAGTTTTGGTGATAATGAATGTTATTTTTTTTTAAATATCGTAAGTTAAATGACGAAAACATTTTCATTTCGTCTATCTTTAAATATTAAATTATTACTTTAAAATTAAACAAAATGCGCCATTTTGATTACACTTTTCCATCACTCAAAGTGCGTTCATTTGTAATATCGCGGAATGGTGTTTATGCTGTCTCTACTATCTCGATGATGATGATACTACTTATAGTTATATAGACTGCTCAAAGCGGGTCGTTTTAGCAAAAAGCATAATTACCTACATTTTTACTTCAAGGCATAAGGTTATGTTTATTTTGAAAAACATGGATTATCAATCTATAACTTTCTATACCATTGACCCTGTCAAATCACCAGGCCCACAGGGTTGTCATATCATAACTTGTCATGTCATTACCCACGGACAACAATTTTGTTGGGATACTCAAAAAAACCGTTAAAGAAGGTGGTTTAAGCAAGTTCTATACTTATGTCGTTTAGTCGTTAAAAATCCTGAATTATTAGTTGAACTTTTTTCGGTCTAGGACGAAAAATTCTTTTGCAGACGCTCACTTAAAATATATAGAGAATTTCTGTCTTCGTTTAGTTTTTGAACCATTTGAATAAAACAATATTTGTATATAAAAAAAATCCGAAATATTTTTCTAAAACGTGTTCATATGCATAATTTGTAAAATTGAAAAATAATACTTTAAAACGAGTGAAATCAGTTTTGCGTGAGTTCCAACTATTAAACATTCAGCCGGCTCGCAGGAACGTCTAGTTTAACTATAAAAAGATAAAAGCTCACTTTTCTTCACTCATACAAAAATTATTTATGACGTTCTTCTGGAATAAAGTAACACTCGATATTAAAAAGTGGTTCGTTAATGGCTGTTTTAATTCATGTTTAGCTCTGGTTATATCGACGCATTTTATTTCTAAATCTGCATAATGTATTAAGTGATATACCTATATAACCTGATTGATTAATAGAATATATACATGCTAATGGTGATATGTAAAATGCATATTAAAACTATAAAATATAAATAAGTTCATGGGAAAAATTATTTTAATAGATATCTATGCAACCAGTTACGAAATGCCTTATTTTATGTAACCAGTGAATGTTTGCAGGACGAATAGAGCTCATTAATCAGAATCGGTTTAGCAAAGGCATTTGAATATAGTAAAAAAAATAACCTACATTTTTACTTCACGGCATTAGCTTATGTTTATTTCGAAAAACGTGGATAATCAATCTATATCACTATCTATATCAATGACACTGTCAAATTACCAAGCCCACAGAGTTACCATAGCATAATCTGCCATTATCAACGCGCAGCACATGCTTTGATCTTCTTTTACATACGGAGAATGGTCGCACTGCGCAGCTTTCTGAGTGCTTTTTAAATGGAGATAGAAAACTTTGCCATTTTGATGCCTTATTACGTGTTGCCTACATCTTGGCGCAATATTTTTAATAGGTGCGTTTTAATCATCCGCTTCTGCTTAGGAATTGTCGGTTTTCTTGTTTTAATCTGACAGGTCAGAACGACTGAACCGACAATTCCGGAAGCAGAAGCAGATGATTAAAACGCACCTGATATTTTGCTTGCTGCTGTCAGTGTCAGTGAATATTATTTTTGGAGTCACAGTTTATTGCTAAAGAATCAGTTAGCTCATTCGGACCAGTTGAAAGTTCCAAAATAACATCCACTCCAGGGATACAAATTCAGGATACGCAAAAGACTGCTGTTTTATTATAGGCGGTTGTCATATATTGTATTATCTGAGTTGCGCAGTGTATAAACTGGAACATTGAGATAAAAAGTGCCGACGCAGAGTGAGCGATCTGATTATTTAGCTATAAACTGTGTCATAGGGTTCAAAATGGCCGCGCCCTATGTTGGGCGTGTCGGACCTCTCTCTTGCCCCGTATAGTAATCAAAGTATGTGGTAATCAAAGTATGTGACGCGCAGCCATTTTGTTTGGAATGTCTAATTAGAAAAGAAAATCAAAGTATGTACTAATTAGGCATTTCAAACTGAATGGCTACCAGTGGGTTTTGATAGGTTATGATATTGCAAAATTATGGCAACCCTATAGGCCTGGTGATTTGACAAGATCAATTTAATAGATAGTTACATAGATTGATCATCCATATTTTTCAAAATAAACATAAGCTTATGTCTTAATGTAAAAATGTAAACAATTCTTTTTTTTTTTTTTTTTAAATATCTAAAGGATGAAAATTGGTTTTAAAACACATTTTTGCTAAACCGATTTAAATTAATAAATATTTGCCAGGCAAGATGGCCGCTCGCAAACGACCAGCTTTGGGCCATCTATGCTGAACTGTAACAGTATAGAGTTTAGTGGTTATGATTGACAACCTGTGTTATTTTTAACAAGTCTGTTATTTTATAAACACACAGAAATAACAACCTGTTTACAAATAAAGTGTTAAAAATAACATTATTAGTCCATCATAACCCCGTTAATTTACCCTTTTAAATCTTTTACCACCCTTATTATGCATTTTTACACTTATGTTCATTGGTCCTTTTTTTATTTTTAAGAGTAGATATTATCATCTTCCAAAATGAATTTTTTTTAAGGTTTTCAGGCAAACCTGTCATTTTCCATGAACAAATTTTAAGACACATTGAGGTCGTACCAATTCAAAAATAAAAAATAACTAGATTCTTTTTCCGCCCTATTTATTTTATAGTAAAATTGTTTATCCAAATTCAAACCATAAAAAACATTGCGTGTTAATTTCATACCCATTCGGCAAAATTAGCAAATACCATGCTGATTTTTTTCAACAGCAGGCCATCGGCGCCATTATACTTATATAAAAATACCATGTTTCGGTTTCACATTTTAAGCGTATTCTTTTTTTTTTTCAGAGTTCATTTTTTCGAGGTACCACCCAAGTATTATTGCATGTGCGAGCATAGCGTCGGCACTCTGTGGAGTCGGCTGGGTGGACAAAAGTGGACACAGCCTAGAGGATCTTTTACAGAGACTGACTGAAATAACCAATATAGAAAAGGTATATATAAATTAAAATAATTGAATCTAATTTAGCCCTTTAACGGATACTGGTATATATATGTACCATTTGTTTTTATTACAACGGCCCTAACATCGTTTTGATCAAGGTTGAGCTGAGAGGTGCATATATCTACCATAAATTGATTTACCATTTAATAATTAAAAAAGTGTTACTTATTTATACCAGACAGCTTTTAATTATTCCAACAATAAAGTCTTTTATATTCTTTTAACTGTGATTTTGGTGACACGCTAGCAAGATCAAAACAAAACTATATATATAAAATATTAGTTTCTTTAGTTTTATTTAAATGTTGGTAATACCATTTCGAGCAAGGTTGTTCTCTGAGGTACAAATATTTACCACGATAGTTTAACTATTTGTCAAAATGTGGTACGTATTTATACCAGAAAAACTCTAAATTGTCAGTCGAATACGCTATTATATTTTTTTTATAAATACCTTTAACTTGACCCTGACACATCAGATTTAGCAGCAGAGGATTTCCAAATATTTGATGAGATACCTAATTTAATTTTTATCGCGACTCCAATATATTTAAATTTGGAAGATACAAGGTGTGTTCGTAAATAACTGAACAAATATTTTCCTGTTATCACTCGAAGATGGCTCACCCTGTACATTGAATTATTGTATTAAAATACAGTAATTAAAAATTAAAAAATAGACTGTTTTGGGAATTTCTATTAATGTTTGGTCGGCTAAAAATTAATTTAAGATGGACATAAAACAATAATAAACTGTGGACTAGGAATCTTTCTTCATTTAATGGCAATTTCTTTTTTACGGTATACCTAGGTAACTATGAATATTTAAAGATCATTTCATTATTTTGGTTTTTGTGTCTTAATCGGCAACGGAATTATCGTTTTGAAAACTTTTATTGCCAGGAATGTTGAAGTAAAATGTAATTTTACAAAGTTTACGATTTTTTTATGTGCCGAGACTGTCTTAAGACACCATCGGCGCCAATTGGTAAAAAACGTTTTAAAACCCGCCTAATAACATACTTAAGTCTTATAATCCGTATAATCGACAGCTTTGAAGTTGCAAACAAAACATTGAAGAGTTTTAACAGAGATGGAAAGTAAAAAGTTCAAAGATTTTAATGTTATTCAATTTAAGTTCGCCATTTTTTATCAATTTCTCTCAAGACAACTGACTAAAAATCGACAGCTTGTGTAGATTTTAATTATAAAAAGTAAAAAATCTGCGATATTTATATTACTCATAAAATGTAATTACTTCAATACGATATACGTAGGAATCTACTTGATTAAAAAAAAATATCTGGTATCTCAATTTATTTCAACTCAACTTTTACAATAATTCAGGATCATCGACATATGGCTAAAACCTTCTAAACCTTCTGGAACTCTCCAGATTTTGCTTGACAAGGAATTACATTTCTAGACATTTCTGGAATATTCTTCTTCTTTTACTTGTACTTTTACTTATGCCAACCAGAGCACACTGTAGGGTGATGGGTGATATTACAAAAAAAACAATATTAAAAAGTTTTCACTCCTAAATGAATATATCAGTCAGTAAAAATTGTTTTTAATAAAAAATATAAGTACCAAAATAAATATTAAGCATTTCAAACAAAATGACTGCCCGTTTGAGATGACAGGAGACTGACAGACACATGATAGGTTATGATCAATGAACTGGAGTGGGGTAGAAACCCAATGTACATATTGTAACAATAGAACAAGATGCGACTCTATAGGCGCAGCCATTTTTATTTTTCATCTCACTCGGGAGTATTTATAATAACCATTTTCTGTTTCATATTGTTATTGTTCAATCCACAAGCTGGTGGATCAAACAATAACAAAGTGAAATAGAAAATGGTTGTTATAAATACTCCCGAGTGAGATGAAAAATTAACCTGTCTTTGCCCATAGAGTCGCATCTCAAGCCTATTGACAAGCATTCTACCCAACTTCAGTTCATTGGTTATGATATGGCAACACTGTGGGCCTGATGATTTGACAGGGTCCAATGATATAGATAGTTATAAAGATTGATCATCAATGTTTTTTAAAAGGCTTATTCCATGAAGTAAAAATGTAGGTAATTATTTTTTTTTAATATATTCAAAGGCTGAAAATTGATTTGAATGCACATTTTTGCTAAACCGCGTCAAATTAATGATCACTTGCCAGGCACTATGACCGCTTGCAAACGACCCACTTTGAGCAAACTATATAACTATGTGTCAGTTGTCACTTGTCAGCAGTTTGACAAGTTGTTATAATGCCTAATTGGCACATACTTTGATTTTCTCTTATTATACGAAGAATGGTCGCAATGCGCAAGCTTTCTGAGTACCTTTTAAATGGAGATAGAAAACTCCGCCATTTTGATGCCTTATTACGTGTTGCCTACATCTTGGCGCAATATTTTTAATAGGTGCGTTTTAATCATCCGGTTCTGCTTCGGAATTGTCGGTTTTCTTGTTTTAATCTGACAGGTTAAAACGATTAAACCGACAATTCCGGAAGCAGAAGCGGATGATTAAAATGCACCAGATATTTTGCTTGCTGCTATCAGTGTCAGTGAATATTATTTTTGGAGTTACAGTTTATTGCTAAAGAATGAGTTAGCTCACTCGGACCAGTTGAAAGTTCCAAAATAATATCCACTCCAGGGATACAAATTCAGGATACGCAGAAGACTGCTGTTTTATTATAGGCGGTTGTCATATATTGTATTATCCGAGTTGCACAGTGTATAAACTGAAACATTGAGATCCAAAGTGCCGACGCAGAGTAAGCGATCTGATTCTTTAGCTGTAAACTGTCACAGGGTTCAAAATGGCCGCGCCCTATGTTGGGCGTGTCGGACCTCTCTTTTGCCTCGTATAGTAATCAAAGTATGTGGGGAATGCCTAATACAAAACAAAACCTAACCACATTTAAAGTTTTGACAATTAAAACAGTATTGACAGCCCCCTTGTTATGGTTATTTTGCATTGTTTAAAAAAAAATGACGTCATTCTATGACGCTCATTAACCGTAATCGGGTAAAATTCTCGACGTTGGCAAAATTGTTGTAATTACACACGCGTTCATAGCGAATCTTTATTTATAACCCTCATCAATTTTTGGACATGTTTTCATTTGGTTTTAAGTAATTATACGTCAACTTTAATTAATGTTTTTTGTTCCAGGACTACGTCCAACAATGTCTAAGTCAGATCGATAAAATGATAAGAGAATCTTCCTGTGCTGATCAAGCACCTCAATCTAGCGATGTAACTAATATGGATTCCACCCTGCGACCAGGAGAGTTTACGCCACCCCCCATGGAAAAAAACCAACATGAGACGGCGCTGACTCCGACGGACGTGCACGACATACATTTTTGACTAAAAAAATAAAAAGTGCCAGTGATAGATAACTAGAGCTTCCAATAAACATTTTTTTCAAATTTTAAAATAAGTACCTTAAAGAAGAGAAGAAACTTTTATTTTTTATTATTTTTCGCGCGCGTATACGCATTCGCTCGGAATAACTAGGAGGAGATAGAAAAAAAGAAGAAGAAAGTGAACGAGTTGTCATGATGAACTTCGGGGGAAGGCAATAAATTACGCTTTAAGTCAGAAATAATTTAGTGTGTAAAATGTTTGTTTTTTGCTTGTTTTGGATTTGGTAGGGCCGAACTGGAAAGTATATGCTGTTTAGATTCTTTTTAAATCAAGGGTTTCTAAGAAAGTTAAGAAATGAGGCCCAAAGTTGGAAATACGACTCTTTACCTCTATACTATTTTTTATAAACGTACTATAATATCAAAAACTAGTAGCTACTTATAGATATATCCGATTTTTTACCACTAAAAGAGTATTTTAGTGAATGCATTCCACTTAGTACGATTTATTACCTCTAAGGTACAGATATATAGTCAAAGTTTTTCTTGTTCGCAAACAGTTCTAAAAATGTAATTTTACTGAGATATTTTAAGCTAAATGCAGTTTGCTTTAATTGTACATATTTGCTGTACCAAAATAATGAGATTCTTTTTTCACGTTGCTTCAAATGTTAAAATATTAGACATTCCAATTAAATTAAATTGGGTAATGATAGGTTATGATTTGGCAAACCTGTAAGCCTATTGATTTGACAGGGTCATCAATGACATAGTTATATAAATTGATCATGTTTTTCAAAATAATGACATGCCTTGAAGTAAAAATGTTGATAATTATTTTTTTACTACATTTAAAGGCTGAAAATTGACTTTAAAATACATTTTTTGCTAAACCGATTCTGATTAATGAGCATTTGCGAGGCAATATGGCCGTACGGAAAACGACCTGCTTTGAGCAATCTATACATCTACATATGTACCATTGACCCTGTCAATGACAGCAGGTCACAGGGTTGCCACATCTAAACTGTCAATTTCCACTTGTCAGCAGTTTGACAGGTCCTGGGAATACCTAATTATTAGGCATTCCAAACAAATTAATTACCAGTGGGCAGGTTTGGTATATCTAAGGGTGGCGACATATGGTGTATTCTATCTACTTTACGTAAAATCATGAATAATGGATTACATTTAAATATTTTATGTCAAACACAATAAAAATTATATTTAAAAAACCCACCTATACATTTCTTCATAAATTGGCAGGCTTGGCGAGTACTACTTCGAATAAAAATAGCGTCCAAGTTGCAAGACTATGTCGCTACCCCCTTAAATATACAAGAATTTCCCACTGGCACCTATTGTTTGACAGGTCGTTGGAATGCCTAATTATACAATAAATGTCAAATTTCCATGGCCACTCTTAATTTAAAAAGAAACTTAACAGCTTTAATATTTATACTTTATTTAATGAATTTAGTTTTTGAATGAACTAAAAAGGTTATAAATCCGTCATAAAATTGCTTTAACACATTCTACAATAATTTTAGTACATTTGCATTTTTAAAAAAGTTTCATTAAAGTTTTAAAAAAGTTTTCAAAACATTAAACAAGTTTAAAAAGAGTTTTTAAAAGTTCCCATTTTTATATAGCTAATTTTTTCTGAAATTTTAAAATTGATATCGTTTTTGACTTTGACAAAAAACGTGAGATAGTATGTAGTTTTTGTTTGTTAAAAATTTGTCTTGTGGCCGCGGGAAATATTATGTATATCACTCGTAAAGTAATATAATGACTGATAACCTTTAAAGTTCAATCAATTTCTTGAAATTAAAAATTATCTTAAAGATGGGCTTAGGGCAAGTTATATGTGCAATATTATGTTACCATGTTTCGTTTAAATCATTTATTTTAGTCAGATTACTTTCTGGTTCATTTTAAATCGAAAATAACGATGAGAGGAGCAATAATGTACTTAGTATGACCTAAATGATTTATTACAAGGTTCATAATAAAAAAAAGTATACAAATTTATAAATTTTATTTAAAAACAATATAGATACATAGAGACAGATACATTATTGCTTCACCTCCTTCGGGTACATCAAATTTGATCTTTAATCAATTTCCTGTGCGGGCCTACCATTTGACCCTCAATATTTGGGTTACCATATAGAAGAAAATTTAAACCTTTATAGTCATTTGTACATACACGATTTTTTTGTTCCTGATTTTGATTTTACCTTACTAGGTTAAAATCATATAGATTTTGTAAATTATTTCATAAATATACTATTACAATAATAACGCAGAGTATTCTGGTACACAAATTTCGAAACTTGGGTACAAATCAAGACCTGCACTTCAATCTAATCTTTTTAGGAATCTCAATGGGAAAAAATCAGTGAATTTAGAAATTTGTGTAACAGAAACTGTTTCCAAGACTGTACTCTTTATAGAGTTAAGGAGTAAATTCATAAAAAATATGCGACTTTTTATCCAAAATTTCATTTGTTTCGCAATTTAAATACTTTTCTGAAAAGATAAAAATCCCTTTTTTATGAATATACTCCTTTAGTTACGACTTAATTTAATGCTAATTTAAAATTGTACAAAAGAAAAATAGGTTTTTAATTATTTTACAATAGTATATTTTACACAATGCAATATGTATAACAAAACACTACTTTTTATCAATATACCTTTTATTTTTGTGACTTCTATGTAAGGATAGTTAATAAATATCGGTATGTTTTTTTTTTAAATGTGATTGTATTTTGGATTACTTTGCGATTTTTTGCAATTTTTAATTCCCAAAAAGTGATGTAAAAATTTTATAAAAAAAAATAAATACAAGAAAAAGCCATATATAATTAAGTACCTAAAATATATTTTATGTGAAATGTATGCTTATAAATCATTATTATCTGTAAATCTGTAAATATTTGTAAATATAAATCATCAACCACAATTTTCACTGCCATTGTTACATAACAATTCTGTATTGCTCATTTTGTTTATACAATAGTTCAATTTTATATACCTCAAACTCAGTTCCATCGACAAACCGATCAATAGCGTTTATTGTATAGTTCAAATATAATCATATTATATATGCTTTTATTTGTAAATAATTATATATCTCTAAGAGAATTTTTATAATACAAAAAGTATTTACAATTACCTGCTTTTTACTTCTGTACTTCCCAACAAGAATAATTCAAAAAATTCCTATTTTTATTTGAAAATTTAGAGAGTATATTACCAGAAATGTTTTGCAAAAAAGCGTAAATTATTAGAAAATACTCTATATACTTATTTTTCCATATAGTTTATGCCGATTCTGAGGATGATTATCAGTAGTAATATCATCCTATGGACAGGGATAATTCTAAATAATTTTTTTTCACTTATCGAAAGCACATAGCTTGGTAACTTCTCGACACCATAGGCAGAGGGAAGTTACCTTAAGAAACGTGATATAGGTATTTGATAAAAAAATTGTGAGTATTTATCACTGGTATTCCGTCAGAAAATTTTTAGCATCTAACGTGCTGAGGATGGGTTACCCCCACGGCACTTAGGCCTCATTGGGCCTATTGTGCATCCTCCTAAGATGATAGGCACCTCCTAGCCTACAGATTTAATGTAGTTGACAACGTCGCCAAGAGAAATAACTAGCTAGTTACAATCCATAAAGTTTTGACTGTACATTCCATAAAGTATTGACTGAACATTTTTTTTTCTTATATTTATAGCCCAATCCTTTAACGTTCGTATTAAATATTAAATTCTAATTGATAATGAAATAAGAAAATGGGTAAAAAGTCATGAATTACTGTCTCTAGTATGAACCTTTTTTATTAATAAGTTTTAAAATAATTTATCATTTAAATGAACGATTTTAATTGTTTTTTTTTAATAACGCAATAAATTTTCTGGAAATTTACTCTCTTAATATTTAAATAAGCAAAAAAATTGGTTTAATAAAAACATAGTCATGAATCATGTCATCCACAAAAGTTCCCACAAACACCATTTAACTATGGTCCTATGTGTGTTCATATTAAATTCAAGGCTTTTATGGATGTCCTTTAATCTACACATTGAAATTAGATGTATATTTATGCTTTTGTTAGGTCTCAAATTATGTATTTTTCATAAATAAAAATCTCTTTAATCAAATTCGTTTTTTTTTATAACGACAAAAAGTTTAGGCTATTCTCCAATAGATGGCTATTTTTTAAATACTGGCAACCAACATTACACATACGTGTATTCTGTAGTGCCTATCAACTACAATACTATTACAAATAAAGTATTTTTAATTAAAACTTAATTTCGCATTAAGTTATGGGAAAATTTTGGTATCAGGATAGCAGAAACGCGACAAGGTATTTGACTTATTTTTAAATGTGAATAACTAGTAAACGGCTCAAGATAGAGACAAGCGGCATAGAGCATTTTAAACTATCCGTCCGGCTCTACCTTTATGTGAATTTATTGAATAAATTCGATCATTATTAACTGAGGAATTAAATAAAGAAAGTTAACCCTTATAGATAGGGAGCAACTGAGTTCACCCCCTAATTGCTCTTGCTTTCTTTTATATGTACCCCAATTTTCATCAAGATCGGAGACAAAAAAATATTTTGTCAAAAATTTTTGAAGGCTATACCCTTTCGATTTTTTTGAAGAAATAAAAAACAATTTAAATTTGCATATCGATAGAGGGTCACATGTAGATCTCAAAAATACAGTCTGTTTTTTTCTAACAGCAATAATAAAAAAAGTTGTGACTCATTTAGCAAAAAGTATCGAAGATGGAGAGAAGCAGACACCTGCCAGACATTTTAAATTAAATACTGTACCTGTGTGCCAAATTTCATAAAGATCTGAGCAAAAATAAATAAAATTCGATATCTCCTCGCTTTTCTATTATCCTGATACAAAGGTCCGAATTCGAAAAGTTCCAATTTTGTCTATGAAATTTTGGTATCA